GATAGATCGCACGTCCTTCGTGGAGCCGTAACACTCATAAGAAACAGCATGCCCGCGGGTCGGTCGGCAATCGTCCCCCGACACAACAACGACACCAGCCACAAACACCAACACTTACCGGCCGTGAACAGGGCAATGGAAAATCCCCAGGTTCCACCCTCCCAGCCAAGGGAGTGGATGGGTTCGTCGATCACGGAGTGCACAAACTCGATTGTCGTCTTGAAAATGTTGAGGTAGGCCTTCCACCATCCCTCGTCGGCGACAATGGCCGCCTCGGTCCCCTCAAAGGACTCGAGGGCGGTCTCCGTGYTTTCGATGACGGCTTCGATGGCCTCCAGGGGATTGCTTCCGGAGGGATCGAGGGTTGCCGCAGCCGCGTCCGACAAAAAGGTAGAGGTGTGGTGCTGCAGGAATCCGTGGAGCGCGTGGGCGTGRGTGGACAATTCCTGCGGGTCCAGCGACGAGGCGGCGTCGTGGAGGGGAGGGATCGCCGCTCCGAGCTGGCTGGTGGTGRCAGCGGGCCTGCCGGAAAGTGCCGCGGCAGCTGCTATCCGGGCGGGTGGCTGAAAGGCGTCCGCCTGGTGCAGCTTGGATCCGGCCATCAGCAGCAGGGGCAGAAGCACCATGTTGTGGCTGTTGTTTTTAGTGTTCATTGCGGTCTGTTTCTGTGTTTGTAAATCCTTTTTTTTGTTGTGTTTTCGGTTTCGTCCCCGTCGTTTTGTTTCGATTTCCGATACGATGGAATCAAGTGTAGTGCACGGTATGGCGTGGAGGTATGCTAGGGTAGTGCTATACTTGTACTGCCAGGGAGTTACAATAGATTGGTTCTCTTCCGCGATGCCAAAATATGCAGGATGTTGCTGAATTAGGACTGCGTCGTTTGAAGGAGGGGCCGAGGCGAAGGAGGAATAGTAGGGATACGAACGACAAGGAGGATTTTTGGCACGCTAGTTTCCAAGTTGAAGCTGTCAATTGTTCTCTCCCCCCTTCCATTCGACGCGAAAAACATCAACATGTTTTTTTCCGTCAGAGATCCGTCTCGAAAGCGTTCCTCCCGTTCAACGTGGAAGTTCGTTCGCAAACCTCACTCTTCCTCGGGATCTTGGAGTCTGATTCGTGACTCGTGATTCGTGATTCGTAGATTGGGATCTGCAACGCTAAACGCTACATACCTTACATACATACGGTATGACCATACGATAATGATTCATAATCATACCTTAGATAGTACCGTACGGTACTCGTATCATAATCAGAAAAATAAAAAATATGTTTTGCGTCTAGTCTTGCCTTCGCCCGTCTACACCGGAGCCACCAAAACAAAGCGAGAAAAAAAAAGTGGGTCGTAAAACAGGCATTAGTTGAACCGAGTTCTCAAGTCCCCTGTACGTGCTGTACGAAGAAAACACGTATGAACAGCTAACGACGACAACTCTCAGTTTTCCTCCCTTCCAACTTCCCTTCTACCGAAAGCTACGATCCAATAATCTACGAAGTCTCGCCCAAAGTCGTTCCGACGGAGGGGTTTCTCCATCGATTAACAATTCGATCGATAGAACACAGGAAAAACAAGCAAAAYAACCWAGCACTAAGACGAGCACRAAAAGGATTGGTCGAGAACARGCAGAACACAACAACATTACCGCAACACTCGGCAGGAGGGCAACAAAACAGCAGGCACCATGGTAGATCACGGAAAGAATAGCAAGAGAAAGAAGTTCCATGATAAGGACAAATACTATAAGCGTGAGTCGGAAAGAAATGAAATGAAACGAAACAATACGAAACAATGCACGGGAAAAGTGGATGYGTCGGCCCGCGGGAAAAAATTGAGAAACATACTTTTTTGTTGTTGTTTTTTTTTGTTGTTTTTAATTTTTCCTAACTTTTGTGTTTTTATATGTTGCCGTTGTTCTGGTTGTCGTTTGTTGTTCGATGCGAACGAATAATTGGTTTTCGGTTCTGTTCTGCTGCCGTGCTGTGTTTCTTCGTTTCTTTGTTTGCAGTCGCCAAGGAGCAGGGCCTCCGGTCGCGTGCCGCCTTCAAGCTGTCCCAGATCAATCGGCACTACCCGCTGATGCACAGCAAAACCAACGTCGTTCTGGATCTGTGTGCCGCTCCCGGTGGTTGGACGCAGGTCGCCCARCGGACCTGCGGGCCGCAGACCTCGATCATCGCGGTGGACATCCTGCCCATCCGGAGCCTCGGAAAGCGCAACATCACCACCATCGTGGGGGACATCACCACGGACAAGTGCAAGGCGGACATCAACCGTGCCATCATCGAGTCGACGTCGAACGGCGGCAACAACGATCGCAACAACAGCAAGGAGGGAACCGTCGACGTGGTGCTCCACGATGGAGCTCCCAACATCGGAGCGAGCTACGACAAGGACGCGTACATGCAAACGGAGCTGGCGGTGCACGCCCTCCGTTGTGCGACCCAGCACCTGCGGCACATGGGGTCCTTTGTGACAAAGATCTACCGCAGCAAGGACTCGGCGTCCTTCCAGTGGGTGGTAAAGCAGCTTTTCCGGGAGGTCTCGACCTTCAAGCCAAAGGCCTCCCGACAACAATCGGCGGAGATTTTTTACGTCTGCCAGGGCTACTACAAACCCGACAAGATCGACCCGCGCCTCCTCGATCCGAAGCACATTTTCGAATTCGTCGAGGGCGACACGCAGGGGGGCGGAAAAGACACCTCCACCGGAGCCGACAAGAAATTCAACGTCTTTCACAAGTCCTGGGACCAGGCCAAGCGTCACCGCGGTGGGTACGACACGGACCATCTCGACGGTACCATGCGGCACATCGAGCCGGTGTCGAGCTTTGTCTTTGGGGCTTCCTCACAGCTCGACGCGATCCAGACGCTGAGCACATGCACCGGGTTTACCTTTCGGGCCGACGACGACGACAAYATCAGCAAGGAGCAGTGCGACTTTTTGTTGAACCATCCCTTCACGACGGCCGAAATCAAGGAGTGCGTGATCGATCTGAAGGTCCTGAACAAGGGAGACTTCAAGGGGCTGGTCATGTGGAGAGAAAAAATGCTTGCGGCCTGGAAGGCCCAGGAATCTCACAAGGACGGTGACGACAGCGACGAGGAAAGCGGTAGCGACAGCAGCGACGGAGAAAGTGACGATGGGGACAGCGCCGGAGAAGATGACGAGGATGCGATCCAGAAAGAGATCCAAAAGGCCCGGGAACGAAAACTGCGGGAGAAGAAAAAGGCGAAAAAGAAGGAGCGAAAACTCATGGCGAAGAAGCGGAGGCAGGCAGCCTTTGGGATGGATCTCAATGCCATTGAGGTCCAGGAACACGACCAGTTCTTTTCTTTGAGCACTCTGCAGTCCTCAAAGGATCTGGACAACGTTGCGGAAGTAAACCTCGACAAGGTGACGAATGAGGAAGCCTTTGGAAGGGACAGTGACGACGACGATAGCGACGACGAAATGGGAGGAGCCAACTACCTCAAGAAAAAGGGCATCCCCGAGCGCAACGCAGACACCGGTTATTCCTACCGAATGGAAAGYGAGCTTGACCTCGCATACGATMTGTTCCTTAAAAACACAAAGAACAGTGCTAACAAGATCGGTACCAAGGCCGCGAAGCGATCGAAAAARCTGCTGCGGGAAAAAATGGCGCAGCAGTCCCACGAGGACCAAGAAATGGTCCTGACCGGRAAGAAGGGAATMAACGCCGACACCAAGGCCTACGCAAAGATGCTCCAGGGTGGCAAAGACAGCGACGATGATAGCGAYGACGACGACAACGACGAGGAAGGAAACTACGATAGCGACGATGGATTCGACGACGAACCCATGACACCGGCAGAACACGAAGCAAAGAAGAAGAAAAAKTCMGCTGTGAGCAGCGGTAACAATTCCAACCCCTTGATCCAYGAATTCCCAGACGAGCCCACACCGATGAAGACGGCACGGTGGTTCAGCAATCCGTTGTTTGCCGAGATCGGCGAGGCCGTCAACGCAGCGGCTTCGAGCAGCAACCAAAAGTCTTCCTCCGGAGCGGCAACAAGCGATCCGCTGGGCGACGACGACAGCGACCACGAAARCGATGGCGACGACGACGAGGAAGAGAARAAACRCCCCTCCAAAAAGTCCCGACGGGAAAATGCTGGCCAATCGAAGAAGGAAAGCAAGAAAGAAAAGAAAATTACCGCGGACGATGTCCTGGCGATGATGCCCAAGACAGACAAGCAAAAGCGCCACGAAAAACGCATCAAGGCCAAGGAACGAGACGAACGCCGCCAGGCCCGACGGGCGAAGAAAATGGGGGAGGAAGCGAGCGACTTTGACCTGGTKCCCAGGTCGGCGAACGACGATGAGGACTTTGACGACGATGAATTAATGCAAATGGAAGGCATGACCGAGGAAAGAAAACAAAAGATAAAGGAGGCCCGAAAGCTGATCAAGGCCGGTATGGGGAAGGGTGCCTCTTCTGATAAAGGCGAGAAGGTGGGCTTCGAGGTTGTGGAAGCTGAGAGGCCCCTGCCTTCTATGGACGACCGAAAATACAATTCCGATAACGAGGACTACGATAGCGACGACCACGCCGAGACACTCGCGCTGGGAACCATGATGCTCCGCCATTCGAAGGCAAAGTCCATGGTGGATGCATCGTATAACCGATTTGCCTGGAACGACCCTAGTGATCTCCCGGAGTGGTTCGTTGACGACGAGACCCGCCACTACCGTCCGCAGCTCCCGATCCCCCCGGCACTTCTGGCCAAGATGAAAGAAAAGATGCTGGCCCTCTCGACGAAACCTATTGCAAAGGTTGCCGAAGCCCGCGCGAGAAAGAATCGCAAGGCGAAACAAAAGCTCGCAAACGCCAAGAAGAAGGCCCAGGCARTTGCAAATTCTGCGGACATGTCCGAGGCAATGAAGCTGAAGACCATCAGCAAGGCTTTGCGGTCCGACGACAGGAAGAGCGGCCGCAAGGAATATGTTGTTTCCAAGAAGGGACAAGGCAAGAARGGAGTCAAGGGAGGAATTATGGTGGACAAGAGATTGAAGAACGACAAGAGAGGAATGGAACGCGCTATGAAGAAGAGGAAATCTGGCAAGAAGGGAGGACTTACGGGAWCAAAGAGAAGGCGGAATCACAAGTAAATAATRCAATGCAAGGCATCCCTGTTGAAATGATGGTCCAATAKAACGYCATGCTATTATGCCCCATTACTGAAATTTGTTTTGAAATGAGCTTCTTCTTCTAGTAGTTGTATAGAAATGTTTGTTCTTTGTTTGTATATATTTATTATCCAAAATTTGCCTGACGGCTTTGTTTTCTATCTACTGCTATGTGTATCAATTGYAACAAATCCGACCGTWAGCTGATATCAGATTCCATTCAACCGAATAGAATTTCGTATGTGACAACGAATCGAAAATCKAAAATCTGCAATCTACCGACATGCAATGCCACGAGACGACCAACCATTACATCTAGACATYTCGTTCAACAGTTTGTTATTTAGTATTCGATAACAAATCGAAAATCTTGCATTCTCCTTCGTGCTATTGAAATTCGTCTTCGTATTCGCTTCATGTATTTATTTCCATGGATAGATTGTGACTTGTCCGTTGCTGTTGCTTTCGTTGTGCAAGAAGCATCGTCGGTCATTTTATTGCTTATTGAAACTGCAGTCGTGCTGCTCTTGTTCTGTTCTTGTAATGGTGTTGCGATGTGATTATTTTGTGAGATGATTTGGTTGTTCATTTTCTTCATCGAAGGTTCCWGCTCGTACCGTACGGCATTTGTGAATGTGATGTATCTGCTCTTCGTAGGTACAGGACCAAAAATAGTGGTGCCGCCATWCTAGTTTGCAACTTAGTCGTGGTCTTTGCCCTCCTATTTTTTCTGCAAAACGTAAAACCGTTGCAGGTATCACGTTAGTCGAATTGTGGGATTAAGTCGTGCAGAATAATGGCAGAAGTACGGTACGGCACCCAACGCTACGAACCGTACAGCTACCTTCGAAACTAAGCTCATGATTATTGTCCTCCCCCAAAATACTCCTTGTTTCCCCTAAAGAAGAACGCAAAACTGAATATCCAACCAACATCTTTTTCTTGTCCCCACGAAAAATGGGAATATTCATTTTCAGTATCGCAATCTTCACGGGCAAAGTACCTGGTACGAGTTAAGTACGTACTAGTAAGTGCGTATTAGTAGCGTGCCGCGAGTAGCGGTGGAGTTGTTTGTAATTCGACTCGGCATCCATCGTCTACAGATGCCACAGGATCTCTGCTATTACTGAACACAAAGTACCTCCGTTGAAAAAAAATTGATTTGGTTTGGTTTGGTTTGGTTTGGTTTGATTTGATTTGATTTGATTTGATTCACCCAGGAACTGCATGGAATGAGCATTCGAAACGACAACAACAGTCACAACTACTGCTTTTTGGATCTGGATCTCGACGACGCCCGGAAAAAACTAGCGACATGTGCCGCTTTTGTAGATAGTACMGATCTGACATATGGYTTCTCCTCGAAGAATCTATTGGCTCTTGGTGGATCTGAAATATCTCGTTTGAAAGAATTGGTTTCCATGGACCACGAATGGGCTTCGAAAGATGCAGCTTGCGGCGGCATCATTACACAACCGCCTCCCGAAGGTATGTAGGAGCKAGCAGTACGCTACGGAAASCTTGCGACATTGCACAGAATAGCTTTGCGCTATCTATTCCATACGCTGTTCTACATCAACAAAGCTAKTGTATTTTTGAGAGGTTATCGCAACGCTGATTTGAACTGTAWTTACGTCTGMATTCGCAATTCCATTCCAGGAAATCGCATCGTGGTCAAATTRTATTGGGACATAGCTCCGTTGGCCTGTGAAAATTTCGCGACCCTCTGCTCCAATGGTTCGTCGGTGACTGCAGSTCYGGGTCAAAAGTCGTCTAAACCAAAGCCTGTGCCGATCGGAGAGTGTGGTAAGCCGCTGACTTAYMGGGGCTGTAAGATTCATCGTGTTGTTCCTGGCTTYGTCCTCCAGGGGGGGGATTTCGTTCTGGAAAACGGATCCGGGGGCGAGTGTGTCTTTGGTAACAAAAAGACCTTCAAGGACGAGCGGGCCGGTCTTAATCTGAAACATAATCGATTCGGACTGTTGAGGTACGTAAGCAAAATTTAGCGATTTTGTTTTTCATGCATTTTGAGGATGACACCAAACCGGAATTCTGTTTGGTTTTTCCACGCCTTCAATAATTAATGACAATACAGTGAATACTTTTCTGAAAACATTGGAATGCTCACTGCTATTCATTTCAAYCYGTCACTTGTTGCTTTGTAAAACGTTTTGATAATGATTCTATGWACGAAAACAATTGTTACTTAATTGAAAAAGTATGGGGAATTCGGGAAAGAACAGCAACTCGTCGCAATTCTTTTTCACCTTGGACAAGGCACCACAATGCGATGGCAAGCACGTGATTTTCGGGGAAGTGGTATCCGGTGGGCAAGTTCTARAAAAGGCTGAGTCCTTCGGGTCTTCTGATGGAACTCCTACCGCACCGATCCGCATAGCTGATTGCGGCGTTTTTACACCACTGCAGACACCCGGGGCTGGGTATTGGTACGATAAACCGGATYCGGAGTCATGGAACGGAATTTCTCCGACATTTGTGGTCCGACCGAGGATTGCGATTGCAGCACCGGAAGCGGCTAGGAAAAAATTCGAACAGGCCATGAGTGGTCTCTGTTCCGTTGTCCTCTCTATCTGTGTAGGTGCGGGGGGGGAGGCACCGGAAGCTGCTTCCAAGCTTCTCCTCGAGTCGCTTTCGTCTTTTTCTGTGGATATCGTCGTAATCGCTCCGGTGTGTAAAGACGTCAAATCAAAAATGGGACAGCGTCTTCCTGTCTCTTGGGTGAATAGCAACTTTTCGTTTGAAGAAGTTGTGATTGTGTCAAAGCCACTGGACGTAATATCTTCGATACATACTAAATCTTGGCTATCGAGCCACCGAAAACATTGGCAGCTTGATGGTCGATGATGATATTGAGAGCATATAACAAACGACTGATGGAGTTACGTCTCATTTTCAGCTTGTGTGTATTGCCTTTCTCAATCCGTTATGACCCAACGMAATACTTTGAGAAACAGGGTGAATACACATCACTGAAAGTTCAAAATGATAGTCATAGCTCCTGGATTCGATTCTTTCATTTCATATCAGAAATGTCAGGCTTGACAAATCCYAATCATTAATGGGCTGATCTAAAGTATTCTGAACATACTATYCTGGACATCTTTCTCGCACTTGACGATCCYAAACACCGGTAGATTTGATGTAAGAAATATTGTTAGTACTACAATATGATGAACARCGAAGTAATCATAGCATCGTGTRATACTGTACTAAAAWGAGGCGAAGCATCGCCCAACCGCTAGAGACATAGATMTTTGTTTTCGACTCGATAAGCACTTTATTTTTCCAATTTGTTTGCTGTTTTCATTCTCGTTTGTAATAAACTGAAGCTGGTYCTTGATACTTCAATGTACGAGTAACTGGTGCAAAGTACACTTTGGTCGACCACCGCAAGGATGGTAGTGTCTTCGTAGTTTTACAACGGAAGTTCTTTCAGCKCTTTGTTGATGTTGCGATCTACTGGGGTCGCATCTACCAACCTAAAGTTTCCGTTTAGGAATGGGGAGGAGAGGGGGATATTGGTAGGGGGGGGGGGCCTGTTCAAAGTGCAGGGTTGGGCATCTGAGACCATGGGTCTCGACGCGGCTCTTCGCCACATTGCCTTTGCCGGAGCAGAAGGACAACGATCTTCTCGCGGTATCCAACCATGCTTCAATTTGTCATCACAGGTAATGTTGATATCAAATTTGAATTAGTCAAATTTGGAGAGTACATAAATAGAGATTCTATAAAAGTACAGTCATAGGACGCAATCACGCACGAACGGTCTCCACACCGTTTCGCCCTCAACTTCAATCAATCGCAAGCAGTCGACTTTAATTGGGAATATTTTTCATCAGTGTTCACCGAATCCAAACAGGGTATTTTGAAGAAGTACGTAGTACACAGTTCGTAGTATTTATTTAGCTCGGAACGAACGTACGTAGCTGAGTTACGTTAGTGTACTGTAATGTACGTAAATACAGTACAAAAAAATATCAAAATATTTCTTCAATACGCTGAAAAATCATTTCACTGGAGTAGAGTGCATGTTTCACGCGCCTCGGCCAGACCAAAAATTAAACGGAATGATTACTGTATTACGTAAATACGTTGAGAACGGCAGAAGGAGGAAGAATCATGCATAAGGAATGGGTCACTGAGTTTTTAACTGATCGGCTGGAGATCCCCACTACAACAAATCTGTAATCGCAGCTTTGTTAGTTTAGTGGTAAAATATCTGCCTTCCAAGCAGATGTCCTGGGTTCGATTCCCAGACAAAGCATTGATCTATTTTTTGTGTATATTACACGCACAACTAGTTTTACCATCACAAATTGCACCACATCCATCACTTGTGAAATGTTGGTAGGCTCCATTAAAGAGTGAGCTTATTCACTATCTACTCGTGATTTAGGCTCACATCACTAACCCTGTTGACGACAACGACAAAATGCCTAGGTATCGAGAATAATAGTAGCGTGGTTGAAACACCGATTAAGAGGGAATACCTTTGTCGCAAACTGAACTCCAGCCACTGCAGAGCAACATGATTGAAGTTGCTATCATGAATTGTCACACGTAAGGGATCTGTTCTCAATACTGCCCCGTCTCGATTCGGTGTCGTAGCCGTCGCAGAAAGGAATCCATCGTCTGTGCGGGTTGATTTCCCACGGGACAGAGACGACCAACTTTGTACGCTTTCGGGCGCGACTATGTATGTTGTGCTGTCGAAAAGAAAAACTGACCAATTCGTAAAAATTCTCTKGAAAAATACGGTAGATCAGTCTTTAACTTGAAATGAAGTGTATGATGACTTACGATTATAATCTATTCGAGGAATTCCGATGTCGATGCAAACTATTCATGATATATGAATATATGAAGTCGTTCCAGAAGATTGAAGTCACCAATGTTATTATGAATGGCATCAATACTCCAAAGCATTATACTATGGAAGAGTCAGAACTGATAAGCACAGCGAACAACGCCTCGAGCTACAATCTTCCCGCCTTTTTGGACGACTTCTCGTTTTTTGTGCTTTTTTTGCTTTTCGGCGCGATGCTACGAGGCTTTGCGCCACTCTTCATCTTTTTTCCTCCTTTGTGGGAACCACCTCTCCGAGCTTTGACGTTCTTTGTTGAGAAGCCGCTCTTCAAACTTTTGGATTTTCTTGACTTCGTTTTATGAGTAGTGGTGGGGTTATCCTCTGAAATAATGGGCATCAAATTTGCAGTTGGGGATGTGGTCGGAGATTTCGATGSCCCGCACGTTGGTGATATGGAGGGTTTAAAAGTAGGGTAATTTGTTGGATGATTGGTTGGGAAAACGGTCGGGGATTTAGTTGGTGACTTGCTTGGGCGAATCGTGAGCAGTGGGACGCGGAGAAGGTTTGGTGCCTTTGAGTCAATCACTRTTGGAGTTCGCGTTCGAAGCTGAGTAGGCCATGCATTGGGGACTGAAGTCGTCGATTCGCTTGCAAATTTGCTCGACAAAATAGATGACTCCCCCGAGAGCTCAGAAGATGTCACGGATGTGGCAACTGCACTAGGTGAAAGCGTGGGCGCGTTGTACGGTTGCTCTCGGGTCTCTTCATTAAAGCACGRACCCAAATCGACCGTTGCACACGTCGCTCGGCACCAAAAAGATATCTTATTTGCATGTTTTCGCTTCTTGCACAATTTCTCCCTCTTCTTGGTTGTCAGCTTCCGCATCCAATCACAGCTCCTGTTCTTTTCGCCAAATCGAAACGAGACACTGTCTGCGCAAGTYGTTGTGCTCATCGATAGATTTCTTTGYGGCTTGGCTGTTGCGAAGTTCCCATAGTCACTAATAGAAACAAGTCTTCTTGAATGCACATAGCTGTCGCCAAGGATTTCATCATCACCTTTTCTCACTACGGTGATCGGGTGAGTAGTGCCGCTCCTGGGACCTATGGATCGATAACAACTCATATTGCCACCATCCTTGAGGTTAAGGGYAACAGTAAGATGTGCGGTAGTAGATACCTCATCTTTCTCGTTTGAGCCATCTATTTCGTTCAAGACGAAGGACATCTTTGGGTTGTTTGGCGCAGTCTTTGTTGACGAATGGTAACCGAGATGGTGGATGGAGTCGTTTCGCAACTTTTTGGCCGCGTTGAAAAACAGTTGGAATCCCCCCAAGATTTTGTAAGAATGCTGGAATCATAATTAAAAAGAGATTGGAAAAATAATGAGGTCATAGCAATCCCAAGCAATCCCGTGTCAAACAAGAAGAAGAAAAGCGAAACGACAATCAACCACGGTCTCGAACTCGAAGCATGGCATGAGAGTGCTGTAGTCGAACGAAACTCACACCCATGAATCTCGATTTATCTCCTTCTCTTCCMCTAATATTGGAGTAACTCAGATTCAGCTTCTGTCCCATCTCGGAGAAGTGAAGAGAAGCGCAATGGCACCATTCTCCGCCGTCATTGGAAAACGAATAGATACAAGCGTATCCGATCTGTTCCTCAACTGTCCCGAGTTTGCCAATGTCGAGAACGGGATCTTCTACGACGATTCCTTTGAATTCAATCGGTTGTTCCGAATCCGATCCGCCATTATCAGTGGTGATGTGGATCGCTGTCATTTCTTGCCAGAGGATSGTTTGCGCTTCTTCGCGCGGGGAATCAAAGGACCCATCTTGGAGGAACGCGGCGTATTCTTTGGCATCAGATCGTGAGAGATGGTATTGGTAGCGAAGGCGGTGGTCCTCGTAAGTATTCGAATCGGTTGTTGCTGCTGCAGCATCAACGTAAGGGCCACCAAAGTCAATGTTGTCGTTCCCTTCCTGAAGAAAGTGGTAGGGACGGGCAGAAGCAAGGGGGGCAGTGAAAGTGCCGCCAATGGCGACGACGAAAAAGAAATAGTTAGTGACAAGGTTCATCGTGGTTGATCCTTTATGTTAAGTTTGTGCCAAATTGAAATAGTGACGAAGAGTAACATTGTGCGAAAATGAAGCGACGCAAAGGAAGACTGCACCGACACTGCCGTATAACACAAGACCAAGTGATTCGGGTAGAAGAAGAATGCGATGATGCTGAGCCGCACGGACTTCAAATGAAAGCAACCGCATCCTACAAAAGCGTACCCAATTACACTAGAATGGACATCGGMAATAATTGACGAGAGTCACACTTCCGTATCTACAAAAGAAGCATTGCTATTTTGAAGTTGCACATTTTTCTTTGAAAATCAACTTTTACGAAGTGCAAGAAGAAAAAAGTGAGATAAGCTGCTAATGGCAACAGCAAAGGTAAAAATGGAGATTGCCGGAATCGAACCGGCGACCTTGTGCATGCTAAGCACACGCGCTACCAACTGCGCCAAACCCCCACATTCCGTCACGGGGAATCGAACCCCGGTCTCCCGCGTGACAGGCGGGGATACTAGCCACTATACTATGACGGACTTATTTAGCTCTTGCTGTGGGGATTGTCTTGCCATGTGTTTATAAACCTACGGTATACTCGTAGAGGCTAACTACGTACAAATGCTGCCCTTTCTACGTACTTCTAACGAATGTTATCGTAAAGTACTGTACTAGATACCGGTAAGCTAATCAAGTCTCAAAAAGATTGACAGCTCCTACCGGTACTACCATACCGTCACCCCTGCCTATCGTACCGTCCGTAGTTACCACTACTACAGTACGGTATTGTATTGAAGAAGATCGGAAGTTGCGGTGATRGTTAGTTTTTGTTGCAGTGGTGCTCGTACTACTAACGCCTGTGGGGGTAGCTTTATGATCCATAATCGTACCGGAAGGTGGTGACAACTGCATTGAATGAACCGAACTACTTCATAGACGACCAGTACTTTCGAAACACGGTTTTTAAGTCGAGTCRCCACTACTTAAAAGAACTTTTATCGACATGGGGGGTAGAAGCAGCCAACCGGTCCCCGTGGAAGGACCAGGTCCATCGGACGGAACGGAGGAAGAGGTCGAACAGCAAGAGGGGTTTTTTACTCTGTCTGAATCATTTCAGCAGGAAATGGCACAGGAGTTCCAAAACGAGCAGGTCCTAAGGATGTTTGGAAAACAGATGGAAAAGATCGGGGAGCGCAAGAATGCTGCCTACAAAGAGCACATCGAGCAACGAGCAAAYCTCGAACGCAAATTAAACGAATTCCGACAACAGAACGAGAAGGTGCAAAATACACTCAACACAGCAATCGAAGGAATGGAAGACAAATTTACCGATATGGCCAATGTTGTGGAATACGACATCGATCGACTAGGGAAGCAATATTTGAAGTCAGCCTTGACGGAAAAGAATATTCTAAATATCCCGTGTTTCGTGGAACAAACCGAGATAGCCTCCTGTCTCAACACTAAGAGCAAGAGCGGAGAGATGAAGGACGATCCATTTGCGTGCGATGTTTTCATTCAGGCCCTCAATGATTGTACAYACCGCAYAATCACGAGCAAGAAAGATGAGGCTGCTCAATAAGGGAGACATTCAACATTGATTGATATCAAAAAATATGAATAGGGAATCCATTTTCAAAATGAGGTGTTGTGCTCGGCATTCATAGTCCCTTGTTCTTGCACTAGGAACTAGTAAAAGAGAACATAACTTAGATAACGCCCMAAACCAGAACGATKCTTTCCGAGAYATTTCGTCCAGAACCTTCAACCCCGGAAGTAGAATACATACTAGCAATCAATAGGCTCAAAGTTTGGGCATGTACGGTTAGTGCCTCAACGCGACTGACCACTAAAGTCGGCAGAGATCTAATTTTTCGGCACYAAYAATTGTTACTGCAYCGATATTTTTCAATTATTAAAGTGTCTCTCAGGAGAACCGTGAACATTTTTTATATCAAATACAAACTTCTCCTGTCTGACTATCATGCCTGTTTGTTTATATCTAATAAATACAGTCAGACGCGGACATATTCAAGATCTCTCCAATTTYTGTTACACTAGATAAAAAGTTTCAAATTCAGTCGACTCAAAAGATTATGTTTCAAACTATCGACCGGTGCCATCTATCACGAGCTGTTTTGTTGATTACTTCGAAGCATGAGCATAGGCGCAAAATACCTCGATCTATGAGTTACACAATCAGTAGCTGTAGAGCTCGATGCACTGTATACTTGGGCCCATAATCAACACATACCAATGGAACTCGCAGTCTTGTGAAGCACCAATTTGAAATACTCTCAATTCAATGAACTCGATTCATGGTTTGTCGATAGATCAATCGGCATCGTAAATCACGCACYGTTTCGAAAGTGAGACATTCCAGAAGGAACATGCACATGGTTGATTGCAATGCCAACAAAATAAGTAGTAGCACACCCCGTCTCTTCGACGCAGCCTAGAAAGTTATTGGTAACCATCTCGCTAGCAAAATATCGATTTTCCATTCTCATTACTTATCTACATTACTGATGGTACTATTCCGAGTTGAACAATTACCGCCTATCTCGATCTCGCCAGCCACCACGATCGCGATCGCGATGACCGGGGGGAGGAGGACCATGCTGGTTTCCCATCGGGGGGCCTCTGCCGTGCATGGGAGGGGGGCCCCGGTTGCCTCCATCGGGTGGGCCAAAAAAGTCTCTCCCGGGACCAACGCCCCGGGGGGGAAGAGGACCCCGATCGCCTCTTGGACCACCAGAATGTGGACCACGGCCAAAGTCGSGTCCCCACGAACCGGGTCCCCTGTCACCGTCGTGGCCATAAGGACCGCCTCGAGGAGGTGGTCCACCGAAGTCCCCACGGGGCGGACTTCCTCCACGGTGCATTTGAGGCGGAAATGGGGGTCCACCGCGACGCTCGCCCATTCCATGACGATTCTGATCGTCTCCTCCCCTCCAATCGTCGGGATGTGGGTGTCGATCCCTGCCTCTMGCATCCTCGTTTCGAAAGCGTCGATCTCGATCTCGATCCCTTCGGTCACGTCGTTCCCTCTCGTCGTGATCATGGTGACCCTCGCCTCCGTTTTCGTGGGATCGGGTTCGGCTTTTCTTTTTCTTGCTGGCCTTTCGTTCTCGMGAGGACCGATCTCTGTCCCTCTCTCCGCCAGCGGAAGAGCGCTCTTCGGCGCTATCCCTGGAAGAACGCCTGCTGCGATGATCCCGATCCCGATCGTGGCGATCCCTTCTGGAACTTTTCGAATCCCTTTCACGGCTTCTATCTCTGGTGCGGTCACGATTTTTGTCGCCACGCGAGGACGTCGAGCGCGACCGATGGTGTTCTGTGGGGGCCGAGTCTGAATTTTTCTCCCCGCTTTCTGTTTGGTGAGATTCTTTGTCTCTTGGAGGAGCGCTGTCCTTAGAGATTCCGGTATCTTTGGCCGGATCTGCTTCATTGTCCCCACCTCGTGATTGMATAGCTTTTTCGGGAGCAGGGGTATCCTTGCAGATTGCGGTTTCTTTAGCCGGAACCGTCTTTGCTTCTCCRTCTTTAGGGGGTGCGGACTCCTCGGCGGTTTTTGTTTCTCTGGCCGAGTCTGCCTTTTGGTCCCTGCTTTGTGATTGCAACGCTTCGTCGTCTTTGGATGGTGCGGTTTCCCTGACGGTTTCTGTTTCTTTGTCCCTGTCGACGGTTCTGCCCACACGCTTGGGGGGATCCTTGGGTGCCGGTCCTGGCTTCTCACCGATTTCCATTGGCGGCTTGTCATCGGAGGCTGCCTCGTTGAGCTTCCTCGCTGCCGTGAGATCGTCTTTTGCCTCGGCGTTCGGCGACTTTGCTGCCTTTTCCCTCGCACGATCTGTTTCTGTTTCGGCGTCCGTTTTCCTTTTCTTCTTGGCATCGTCGAAAAGCCTGTTTGCGTCCTCCTCGGCCGGTTCCTTGGGAGATGATGTCCGGTCGTCCCGAGAAACGCCGCGGGATTCCTTGTGCTTTTCCCGTTCTTGGTGTTTCCGTTTCCGACGGTCGTCCGATTCCGAGGTTCTGCGGGAAGAACGAGATCGGTCTCGGTCTCTGTCGCGGTCTCTGTCGCGGTCTCGGTCTCTGTCGCGGTCGCGGTCTCGGTCGCGGTCTCGGTCGCGGTGTCGATCGGAGGAGGAACCATCCGTCCGGTGGTGTCTCTTCTCGCGGCGTTCCGAGGGTTCTCGCTCGCCGTGGCTCCGCTCCCGCTTGTGGCCGCGGGAGGAGGAGGATTCTTGGCGGTGGCGGTGGTGGTGGTGGTGGTGTTCTCGGTCCTTTTCCCGGGTCTTGTCGGAGGATCGCCGCCGGCTCCCGGAACGGTCGTCCCCGCGGTGGTCCCCCCTCCCGTCGCCGGCCTCGCCGTGTTCGCTCGGACCTCCGCCGGGCCCGTGCTTCTCCCTGTCCCTCCTGCTCCCGTGGTCTCCGCTGCGTTCCCTGGCCTTCTTCTTGTCGCCRCGGTGGTGGTGGTGGGAAGGGGGAGATCCCCCSTGGTGTTCGGGGCCGGGCCCGGTGGGGGGCCTGCTTCCGGTTCSGGGCATCGGCTCTTCCCCGTCCACCYKGCGGGCCTTGGTTCCCCCGACGTCCGCWCCCAGCCCYTCCAGGGCGACCTTTTCCATCCGGGTCCGGTAGGCCGCRTCGTACTCCTCCTGGGCCTGCTTGCTGGTCTGCCCTCCCTCCAGGGCGGCCCGCCGKGCYTTTTCGGCCTCGGCCTTGGCCTCCTTGCGCTTCTTCTTGGTCTGGAACTCGTGGAAGCTCCCGTTGGCCGCGAGCTTCATCTCCCCGAGGTCCTCGGGCCGGGCCGGTGCCCGGGGCTCCGCCAAAAAGTACCGGTTGCCGAGGGCCCGGGYTGCCGTGAGCCGCTTGGAGGGGTCCAGCTCCAGTAGTTTTTCCACCAGGTTGATGGCCCCGGGGGCGGTGGCGTTCATCTTGTCGGCGTACCGCTCCCGGAGCTTGGGCCGCTTCCGGTCCTTGTCCCCGTGGATGGTGACCTCCTTGGTCCGGAGGAGCTTGAGGTCGTAGACCCCCGGCCAGGACTGCCTGGTGGGCGTCCCGACCATGTCGAAGATGAGCTGGAGCTGCTCCATCTCGGTCTTTCCCGTGAAGAGGGGCCGGCCCAGGACGAGCTCCGCCAGGATGCATCCCGCGCTCCAGATGTCGACCGCCGGTCCGTAGCGGGTGGCCCCCAGCAGGAGCTCCGGGGGCCGGTACCACAGGGTGATGACCTTGTTGGTGAACTCCTGCGTGTTTCCCCGGCTGTCGTCGGAAGCGGAAGCGGGAAGCGGAAGCGGGAAGCGGAAGCGGGCCGAGAAAAAGGAGCGAAAAGAAAGGAAAAACCGGAAAGAGAACTGTGAGAAAACGGAAAGGAAGAAAGAAAGGAAGGTAGGAACGGAAGGAAATCCGATCCGCCAGAAGCCGGAAGGGAAAAAAAGAAACACCACGAAAAAAAAGGGCAAGGAAAGGAAGCAATGGAGGTGCCCGGGGTGTCTAGCGCGCCGGATCCCGGAAGATCCCAACAGGCAAAACAAGGGGCACTCCCGCCACACCCCTACTAGGATCGTATTGGTCTACGGTACTAAGTGAGTGTGTGGGCGTGGCACCCTACAAAAAACCAAAAAGAGTATGCGAAAAAAAAAGTAGGCTTGTGTTTTCATTTTCATTTTCATTTTGGTTTGGTGGGGTTTGTTTGTTTGTTTTGTTTGTTTGGTTTGTACGTACTCGTGTAGTTTATCTAGTAGTGGCGGCTCGATCGACCGTGCCAGGCCAAAGTCCGCGAGCTTGAGGCGAAAGTTCCGGTCGATGAGTATGTTCGAGGACTTGATGTCCCGGTGGACGTACTTCCGGTCGTGCATGTACCGGAGGGCCTCGAGGAGCTGGTGGAAGATGCACTTGATCTCTACCTCGCTGAATTTGTAGGCCACGTCCAGCAGGCCCGTGAGGTCGTGCGGGACGTACTCCAGGACCAGAAAGAGGTTCCCCTTGTAGCTTTCGCGGGCGGCGTCGGCTACGTCGGTGGAGGTTGTTTGCTTACCATTATTGTTGTTGTTGTTGTTGTTGTTGTTGTTGTTGTTGTTGTTGTTGTTGTTGTTGTTGTTCTCCGCATCGGTCTGGTGGTTGTTGGGTCTCCCGCTGCCGCTGCCGCTCGCCGGGTTCTGCGACTGCGCATTTTGTTGTTGCTGCTGCTGTTGTTGCTGCTGCTGCTGTTGTTGTTGTTGTTTGTGTTTCTTTCGGCTGCGGTCCGATCCCTTGTGGTAATCGTCCGCGTCCAGGTGCTCCACCCCCTTGGAAGTCACCACCTCGACCATCCGCACCAGGTTGGGGTGGACGAGGGTCTTGAGGATTTTGATCTCCCGGATGACCGTCGGGGGCATCCCCCAGTGGGCCCCGTGGTGGACGCGTATTTTTTTCATGGCCACGAYGGCGTTCGTGTCCKWGCACCGGGCCCGGTAGACCTGGCCGTAGGTCCCCTCGCCGACCTGCTCGATGCGCTCGTAGTGCGCGATCGTCCGGGTCATGTCGGACCACCGGCGGGTCCGGGAACGGCCCCCGGGGGTGGTGGTGGTGGTGGTGGTGGTGGTTGTTGCGTGGGCGTGGGCGTGGGCCGGCTGGGGTGCACGGGGATTGGCACCGGTATTTGGGTTAATTGTGTTTGGGTTATTTCTATTTGTGTTTGTGTATTGGTTTGTGTTTGGATTGGTGTTGGTATTTGTATTTGTGTATGGATTGTTGCGTTCACCAGCACTGCCCGCGTTCGAGGCAGTGCTCGTGTTGTTATTGCTAGTTGTGTATTGGTTTGTGTATTGATTTGTGTTTGTGTATTGGTTTGTGTATTGATTTGTGTTTGTGATTGGATGGTCGTCTCTGAATTTGGTTTTGTTAGAGTTATAGTTACCGTTCCTCGGCACCGGTGCCCCCGCCGGGTGGCGGTGTGGATCGTGCCGCTGCCGGTGGTGGTGCTGCCACTGCTGCTGCTGCTGCTGCTGCTGCTGCTGCTGCTGCTGCGGATGGTTCCGGTCGGAATGCGGGGGCAACGGCAACGGCAAGTCCGCCCGGCCGTGCCCCCGGTTTCCCTCGGGGTGCCGGGGCAGCGGGCGATCGGGGTGGTCCCGGCGCAGYGGCAGCGGCWGCGSCTGCATCTGCGTCTGCGGACCCCCCCGGCGATCCAGGGAAGACGGGGGSTGGCCAAGGTCCCGGTCTCCCCCGCCGCCGTCCCGCCGCCGCCGCTGCGGCGGCTGATGCTGCTGCTCGCGAAAGGACATGGATCACACAGGGGTGCAACGCAACGCAACGCAACGCAACGGAACGCAATGGAACGCAACGAAAAGCAGCGCAACAAAGGTATCCTGCGACGTATTGTACTTATTGTGCGCTAGGCAATGCGTGCAACGGTGCTTTTGGTGATGGTGCTCTGTACTGCCGGTGGGGGCTCCGATGCACGAAAGGCAGTTTCGTTTCGTGCTCGTAGCGTTCTGGTACTGGTACTACCAGGTACAGTACCCCGACCAGTATGCATCGATCTGCATCGATATGGCTGGCTATCAATACAATCGTGGGTTGCCCTACGGTACAGTACCGTACTGTATGTACGAGATGTACCGTACTCGTAGTSTGTGGTAGGGTAACCCAGACCCAAAACTCTGACACGACCCCTCGCTGTTTGAAAATCGATCGCAAGTGCCAATTGCCGTAGGATAGTGTACGGTACTTGGCTACTACCGTCCGGTAGGTAGGAGCAATGTCACGTCATAGCCAAGCGTACCGTCACTACGCTACGAGAACGAGTACCCGTACTAACCGCACGCCACTAAATTCGAAATTCGTCCTCTTGCTTGCTTGTCCCCTTCCTTCGGGGTTTCTTTGTCGGTCGTGACGATAGTACGATACCGTACGGTACGATACCATACTGTGTCGCGTCGGGTGGTCTGCTTGCTGGCGTTCGTACCGTTTCTACGGTACGCTACAACCGTGTTTGGAGGCAGTCGTTCGAGGCCCTGCGCTGCCTGCGCTCGTGCCCTGTCCCGTTCGGTCCTCCGTAAAAACAGATCGCGTGGTCCAGCTGTCTCCGGATCCGGTGGACCAATGAATTGCGCCGAACCAAAGGGTCATGAGCACAACRACGRAGGGGGGGGGG